AAGCTGATCCCTTCTCTCTTTTCTCTTCCTCCAAGCCTCAGACAAGGGGCAGGAGCTCTGGCCTTGCTCTGCACTGGCTGGCCAGGGCTGTCCTTGCCTCTTGCCACTGGCCCCAGTTTCTCCTCCCCTCGCTGTGTGACCCCGGAGTCTCCAGGATGCCTGACGTCCCCCATGAATGCTTGGACATGGCCCTCCCCGCTCCCCCCCTGCCCCCAGCTGCTTTCTAGGAACTTGCTATCAACTTTTACATCCCTCGACTTGTTTCACTTCCCTGCAGCACACTGTGACCTCACTTCTGCGTTTCTTCACCCATTTCAGACGTCTCTTCCTGGGTCCCTGAACACACAAACCACACCGGGGAGCTCCCAATGGCACGTCACATGTGGCTCCACGTCCTTTGCCAGGTGCCACCGGGCTGCAGTGCAGGAGCCCCTGCTGAAGCTGGCACTGCTTAGCTCTCCCTCTCAGAGCCTCAGAAGGACAACTCGGGCACATTTAGCCTTTCAGCGCTTCTCAGAATAACCCCAAATAAATAAATAGCCAAAATAAATGACTAAAAGAAACCACTGCCTCCAAGATGAAGTAGAGGGTAGATTTAGATTAGCTGTTAGGAAGAAATTCTTTACTGTGAGGGTGGTGAGGCACTGGAACAGGTTGCCCAGAGAAGCTGTGGCTGCCCCCTCCCTGGAAGTGTTCAAGGCCAGGTTGGATGGGGCTTTGGGCAACGTGGTCTAGTGAAGGGTGTCCCTGCCCATGGCAGCAGGGGGGCTTCGAACTAGATGATCTTTGAGGTCCCTTCCAACCCAAACTGTTCTATGATTCTACGATAAGTATCACTTTTGACACGCCATGGCCCTTTTGCCCTTGTTACGGCCTGGCCCCACACCAGGACGAGGGGCAGCCCCGTGAGGACATGCCTACAGCCTTGATGCCTTCAGCCAAGGCACTTTGGACAGTTTTCCACCCATTTCTGTATGTCTCAAGGGATTGGGATGGGGCACAGGAGGGGCGCATGAGATGACGGGAGTCCCATGGCCAAATCCACTGAAGCCTTGACACTGCCAGCAAATCCTCAAGGCTGGAAAACTGCCTTTCAGAGCTGGGGAAATCTGTTTCACCGGGGACAAATAAGATTTCTACGTGCAATGATCAGAGCAGCACTTAAGCCCGCCAGCCATTGGCAGTGCCTGCTGAAGTGAGGCACAGTCGTGGCCTGGGGGCCAGGGGGCCCCGGCTGTTTGGCAGAGCTGGTTGCTCTCAACCAAAAATGAACGTATCCCTCTCTGCCCCCCAGGGAAGTCACCCCGGCTGCTACCAGGGTCCTGCCCTGCCTGTGGTCGTGATGGCATTGGAAACGTTGGACACTGGCAGGGGCTCAGGTGGAGAGTCGCCTGCCGTGACGCTGGTGAGATGCTCGTGTTGGGAAGAGGCGTGAGGGACTGCAGGAGGATGAGTGCAGAGGGACCTGGCAGATCTTCCTATGATCTCTTATATCCAGGGTGGAAGCTGTCTTGAGCAGGACACAAGTTAATGTTCACGCGACAGACTAAAGGCATTTTAATTAGACAGCGAGCAGTTTGTAACCCTTGAGAGCCTCGCTGGCAATGCCATGGGGGCATCCAGAGGAGTTCGGAGGTTTTGGCTGGATGTGGGCAGGGCAGCACGGCCGTGGGCACCGGCTCGCCGGCTGCCTGCCCGGAGCTACGGAAAGGGCTCATGGGGAGGGGGCGAGGGCTGACAGCGCTTAGAGGGAATGACTCAGGCAACTTGGTTTTTTCACCTCCTACATTTGAAGGAAAGAGAAGGTCATCACCATGTGTTTATGCAGTAATTTTTATCCTCCCCATTTAAAGACTTTCTTAGGATGGGGAAAGACCGCTCTGCTTTCCAGGCCTGATCAGAAGGATCCCGGCATTAAATGATAACCTCCCATCTCGCCTGTGCTGTATTTGTTAGCGATCCTCTGGGCTGCAGCTCCAAGAGAAGCAAAGGACAGTGTCGCTACCTGGTGTCTCCCCCCAGCTTCAGCACAAGCAGAGGACAGTCCCCAGAGGTAGGATTCGGGCACAGCCCACCCCAGCATTAACATCCCCAGGCACGGGGGAAAGCAGCACGGCTCTCTCATCCCCTCAAGAAAGCGACATTTCAAATGGAAACAGAGCTTTCTGGTATTTTCCTAGAGAAGTCATCTCCACATTAATCAATTAATAAGCAGCGGCAGCAAGGGCTCGCGCAGATGGCAGCTCTCAGCTAAGTGCGGTGGGTCGCGCAGATTTGTGACTAATGGGCCGCATTAACTCCCAAATCGTCTCAGCCCGGCTGGATGGCTCTGGTGGAATTGGGGAGGCAATTGCTGTTTCCATCTTAGGAAGCAGCGATTTACTGTTGTTATTGCACAACAGGGAATACTTTAAAATGCTCAAAAATCTATCAGCCAGATCTTAACCTCCTTTAGTAGGGAGTGGGAAGTAGGTCCTGAAGAAGCGGTGGAGGGCTGAGTTCATGCTGGAGCTGGGCAGCCACAGCCCTTCTCCAGCACGTCTCGGATGGGGAGGTGCTCCTGCTGTGGACATCACGGGTGAAATTCTTCAACAGCAAAATCTGAAAACCAGATTTAGCAGCAGGAAAAGGCAGCAAGAGCTTCTCTCCCTGTTCCCAAGGCTGGATCAGGTAGGTGGGGATCTGACTGGTGATGCTGGCGGTAGGACCCCTTCCAGGGCAGCGTTTCTAACCGAGTGACCAGAGCTGTTGGGACCTTCGCTCTGGTTTAGTCATATAGCACACGTGCTTGTGCGCACGGAGGGATGCAGAGGTCCTCGCCATCACCTCCAAAACCAGCATATGCAAGACGCAGCTGCTGTCGTTCCTGAGGCCAGCCACAGACAAGGACCAAACCATCATCTTGGAGATAATCCCAGCTGGACCCTGCGAGCTCTTTCGGAGCAGTGTTGCGCAGATGCCCTTGGCTGCTAGAGAAAGGCTGACGGCATGCCCGGGAGCAAAGCCGCCTCTCCTCCCATGCCAACCTCTGCTCCCACCGCCGGCAGCACAGCGGGAGGTGCTCAGCGCCTGGTGTGGGACGGGGAGGAATGCAGAGCATCGGTGGTACTCACGCTATGGGTGCCCTGGGAGAACAAGTAACAGCACTTACTTTTCTTCAATGGTACCACCTGCTGACCTCTCTGTTCAGCCTCCCAGGAGGTGCCAGGGATTTCTGCCATTGGCACCCCACCAAAGCAGCTGGGGTGCCTTAGGGAACCAGCTGGGATCTGCTTCTCACCCTCCCAGGGCAGGGCCCAGCCAGGGAGCGCAGGGGAGCGACCACAGAGCATCCACGGGTGGCTGAGGCAGCAGGGAGGCAACAAGAGAAATGAGGAGGGTTCCCCCAGCCTCCTGCTTCGGAGGAATTCCTTCCCACAGCTTGTGGAAAGGCAGTGCCACCCCTGCGCCCCGGAGCCCTGACCTCCCCAAACCTCCAAACCGGCTTGGCACCAGGGTGCAGTGGATGCTAGCTCCCCAAAACACACTGACACTTAGCCGAGGCCTCTACAGGCTCAAGACACTGAAAATAAAAGTCACTTTTTCTGAAATGGGGGTGCTCTGGACGCAATGTGAATTCTTTGCAACCAGGCTGATTACACTGGGCTCACCAGGCAGGAAGACAGTAAAGAAATGAAAATTTCCCCACACCCAAAACCACACACACACACACACACAAACACAACTCCCAAGTCTCCAAGGGCTCACATGAGCACTCCCCAAAGTCATTTCTCCACCCCTCAGCCTGCCCACAACACACTGATGGCTGAAGGCTGGAAAGGCTTTCCGTAAGTAACACGGAAAAAGATTGCTGTCTAATGGAATCTCAGCAGGCCAGCAGACAACCATTACAGCACTGCGGACTTTATTCCAGCACCTCAGCACAAACACACACTTTCTCCACAGCATTTCAGACATCCCTGTCCTTGGTTTAGTGATACCAGAGCGATACACACGCACTATTGCCCTGCTCTCACAGCGGGACCAGTACAATATCACAGATGACTGGTGAGAAGGACATCAAGCACAAATAAGAGAAATTCTCAGCAGTTGGGAGTCTTTTTAATTATTAATACTACAAACCTTGCTGTTAATTGTTTTAAATTCACAAAGCCAAAAAAACCAGGCAACCTTTGTCGTATACTTACTTCTCCGATAGTTGCCTTTTCCATGTCATATGGGAATGAAAATTGCATCAGACTATTTATGACTGGGTTATGTTTCCTTTCCAGTACAAGCACCTCAAGTTTTCCTTGCCATTTGTCTTCTGTTCTCACTGATGCCCAATAAATCAAGAATATATGTGTGTGAAAACGAGTAACTTTCTCTTAATGATTACAGACAAACGCAGAATTTCAAGACCCTGTGGTACTTAAGTATGAATGCCAGCTTTCAGGACCTCTTTTTCCACCGCCTCCCACCCTACTTTTGAGATTTAAACATCTACAGAGTGTTTCTATAAGGTTCTGGTAAAGAAGGCTAGAGGTTTGACATACCAGCCCTTCATACTGCAACAGGAGAAGTGGCGACGGCGAGTACGCGCACAGGGACCAGACAGAAGGACATCCGACAGACAGGTTTCTGAGCATTTCTACCCAGGCAAGAAGCCACAGCAAGGTCAGGGCAAGTGCTCTCTGGAGAGAGTTACCAAAACAATTTTGTTCTGTCCTGTGGAACCCAAATAGAGAATGTAGATAGCAGGTGTTTCTGGCTCATGTGAAGGCTGCTTTGCTGAAGATCCCAAGGGAGATTAGCAAACAGATCTTCTTTCAGTAATTTTATGAAGACA